CAAAATATGTTTTCTCTGCCCTTTGACTGCTAAAGAAATATATTGCTGTCAATGGTAATTAGAGGCCATCAAAGCACTGAGGAACAGGGGTATTTTCAGCACCCAGAGGCTGTGCCTAAGTGGCTTCAGGCATGTTGATACCCACCCTGTTTGTAACTCACTTGGCTGTTTGTCTCTGACACATGACAGAGCTATCTGAGCGATGATGTTCACAGACCTCAACCTACACTGTGTAGGTGCTAGGCGTCCGAGCCATCCGGTCCTTCTTTATTTCTCAAGGTGATGAACAGCCTGCACAGAAGTACAAAAGTTCTGAAAAGAGCCCAGCTTCATGTGTAACCATTCAAATAATGCAGCATTTTCAGCAGAGAGCAGCACTCAAAAATTTCCTACATGACTAGGGCCCACAAAGACCCCTATGGACTCAGATGCCATCAAACACAAAATGTATTTTAAAAGCAGGTCTTTCTTTTTATGTTTTCAAAAACATTCTATGAATGGGAAACAATTAGAGGAGGGTCATCACAGAATGATATGTAGTTGATAAGATTTTTCCTAATAGATATCCTAATAGATACATAGAAAATAGGTATCCTAATAGATACATAGAAAAAAAACCCCTCTTAAAGACACCCAAAAGATACAACTGAACAATATAATGTGATATGATAGGATGTGACAATTTGATGTGATGTGATAGGGGCAAGTAAAGGTGAGGGGTAAATGGCTTCACTTGACAATTCAGGACTGAGAATTCCCTTCTGGAACAGAAACTGATCACAAATCAGTTTTTATTTAATTACTTTTTAAATTCAAATTTTTAAAATCTGAAGATTTACAATCTCTAATTAAAAACTCTATGAGCTCTCTTTTTATCTCTCAGACAAGCTCGTGCACACTGCTGTAATATGCAAGGTCATTTTCCTCCTAAAACCAATTACAGATTTGTTATAGTGAATAATTCCATAGAAGATGGAATTTGTATTTGTCTCAGTACTTCATAAAATTCCCGCAGTAGGTTTCAAAACAAACCTAGACAGCATTTTCTGAAAACTGTACTGTAGGTGGTTCATGCTGATTTTGCTACAAAAGACAATATGCTAGAAATGACTTGTTTTTTGATATGCTTAATAAAAACTAAAGAAGATCATATGAAATGATGATGGAGCATTTGGATTTTTTCCCCTCTGGACCTCTTTTCAAACTGAAATCCAAATTACTTGTCTGCACTGGTCTTGAAATGCTCACTTATAGATATAGTACAGCTTTGGAAAATTGGAAAGCTCACAGGAATCATTTCTGAGGAACCATTTACGTCTAAAAGAGGTATACTAGACAAATGCTCAAAACAATTTTGTCTCACTGATTTTGAATTACCACTGGTTTATAGTAGACAGTGTCTTTTTTTTTTGAACAGTAACTAGTTATTAGTCTCATCTTCTTGCGCAAGCTTGATTTTCCATGTTTAAGCTGAGCCATTTCCAGCACAGCTCCACGACCAGTGAAATGCATATGCAATCATTAAGTTTGTTTATCTGCTTAATGTGCTAGCAATTAAAATGAGGTGCAATAGGTGTTCCGCCTCTTCACTGGGGAGGTTGTCTTCTGAATCACCATGGGATTGTTCTCCTTCTTTCAGATCCTCAGTGTAGCTTAAAGACTGAGAAGCGTCTTTACGTTGTGATACACATAATGATTGAAACTAGTATGAAGAATACTGATGTAAAATCACATTGTGCATGAAAACACTTCTTGGAATATTTTAAATAGGAAATAAAAGTCTAGGAACTGGCCGTGTCCTGTGCAGAACTGAAAACATAGTTAGGTTTGTATGTGTTTGTTCAAAATGATCTTTTGTGTCCTAACAGAGAATCAGACTTTGCTCCTCTTTCCTGAAGTTACCATTTCAAATACTTCTGATTTCTAAAGAGGAGACAGAAATTTAACCTAGGTTACAAGTGCCAAACCCATCTGTCTCTCAGCACTATATTTGTTTGGGACTAACCTACACCTGCCTCAAGACCCCAGTGCAGGAAAAGCAGCATGCTGTGCAAGGCCATGAAAAGCCACAGAAACAGTGAAGTACTTTGTGCTGCAACCAAGATGTGGCTGAAAGAGAAGCCCCAACAGAACAACTGAGAGCATTATCTCTCAAGTGAGATTAGTTTGTTGACAGCAGATGTACTTGCTGCTAGGTATTAAGAGATCACAAGTCCAAACCCTTATTAGGTGCATCTCTATGAAACATACAGAACAAAATCCACACTGTCACCGATTTTGCTATATACCCTCAAAGTTTCCATTATGCTTGGTAAGAAGTAACCTTTCACACTACAGACAGTTGAGCCAAAGCCTTCAACAAGATAATTTACATTTCATACTCTACTATTTCCTTTCCCAAAACCACCAGGAAACATGGCAAGTAGCCCTGCACATTGTCACGATGAGATAGCCAAGTCACACCACTCTGGTTTAACACAGAGAGCCTGTAACTTTGCCCAGAAGTTACAACAATTATTCCTATACGTTTTTTCCCCTTTCTTTCTCAGTTTTAAAGGCTTTGCCTGTTTGAGCCTTTGCATATCATTGCATTAACACTTTGTTTTGGCTATTGATGAGGTGGGAAACAGGTGAGATACATACTTTTCAAAAGAATTTCACTAGTTGACTAAATATATAATGAAAATCTATTTATTCAGTGAAAATTCTCAACTGCCTGTGACCAGTGGTGTCCCTCAGGGGTCAATACTCGGCCCAGTCCTGTTCAATATACTCATAAATGACCTGGGCGAGGGGACAGAGTATATCCTCAGCAAGTTTGCTGATGATACCAAATTAGGAGGGCTGGTTGACACCCCAGAGGGCTGTGCCGCCATCCAGCACGAACTAAATAGGCTGGAGAGCTGGGCAGAGAAGAACCTCATGAGGTTCAACAAGGGCAAATGTAGGGTCCTTCACCTGGGGAGGAAGAACCCCAGGCACCAATACAGGCTAGGGATAGATCTTCTGGGAAAGACTACTGAAGAGAGGGATCTGGGAGTCCTGGTAGATAGCACACTTTCCATGCGCCAGCAATGTGCCTTTGTTGCCAAGAGGCCAATGGGATCCTGGGCTGCACAGGGAAGAGTGTGGCCAGCAGGTCGAGGGAGGTCATTGTCCCCCTCTGCTCTGCACTGGGGAGGCCACAGCTGGAATCCTGTGTCCAGTTCTGGGCTCCCCAGTTCCAGAGAGACAGGGAACTGCTGGAGAGAGTCCAGTGTAGGACAATGAAGATGATTAAGGGATTGGAGCACGTCCCTTACGAGGAAGGGCTCAAGGAGCTGGGACTCTTTAGCCTGGACAAGCGAAGGCTGAGGGGAGACCTTATTTATGTTTATAAGTATCTCAAGGGTGGGTTGAAGGATGTTGGAGCCAGACTCTTTTCAGTGGTTCCCAGTGACAGGACAAGGGGCAATGGGCTCAAGCTGGAACACGGGAAGTTCCATTCAAATAGGAGGAAGAACTTCCTTGGGGTGAGGGTGGCAGAGCCCTGGGACAGGCTGCCCAGGGAGGGTGTGGAGTCCCCTTCTCTGGAGATCTTCAAGCCCCGCTTGGATGCTCCTGAGTGATGTGCTCTGGGCAGCCCTGCTTTGGCAGGGGAGTTGGACTGGATGGGCTCTAGAGGAACCTTCCAACTCTGACAATTCCCTGATTCCATATAAGCCATAGCCTGATTGTGTAGGCAGGGAGTAAAGTACCTGATCTTTCTGTGTATAAAACATAGGTTTCCCCAGGACACACTGTGGTCCAAAAGTCCTGAGACTTCAGATGTTTTTGTTAACCTCAGGTCTTGATTCTGCTACAAATAGTTTTCAGTTTCCATAGCTACAAGCTGATATCTATTTAGTAGCAAGGGTTTTCTTGAAAATGGGTATTGTCAGCACTGGGGATGATGTGCTTATGCACTGGATGATGTTTTGCTTATGCCCTTGTCCAAGCTGTTTTATAACCCGATGCGTCACTGTCACACTCAGGCTTTTCTACAGCATGCCTCTTTCTGTTCTTTGCTTTTATAAGCCTTTCTAAGCTTTTCCAGAGAGGTCATTACAATGCTGCCACGCTGTGCCAGTGGGATTTGAGGATTATCACTGGCACCGGCAGCTCTCTGGACACTGCTCCCGAATGGAAGTGTCCCAGGCTGCAAAGTGTGCACTCTTCTTTTCTTTTTCCACACAAGCAAAGTCCTTTGACTTTTCCACAGCAGCGTACTTCCACCTGAACTCACTCCTGGGGGGGAAAACATAAACTGTGTTAAAAAACCCACCGCACCTTGAACCCCCGGTGCCATCCCTGGAAAGCAGTGATCCACAACCCTCTCTCAGCCCAATGCTGGCTGTGCTTTGAGTGGACACAGCCACTTTTGGGCAACAAAGACCCAAAAACCACCCTTGAAACCCCCACGCTAGCCTCACTCACCCAATACCTCTGCCAGTGTGGAGAATGATGGAGCTGTCCCATCATCTGGAGGCTGAGCCCTGCCAAAATGGGCGAAAGGGGGTATGAGGATTGGGGTCTTCAGCATTGTAAATGGCTCAATAAGGCATTTATTTTCTTTTTCCACACAAGCAAAGTCCTGGAGGGAGCCCCCCTGAGCTCAGGGGAGCTGCCATCTTCCCCCACCTCACCCGGGGCTGCCACCCGAAGCAGGAACAAGGTGGGAAAGAGAAGTGGGGTCTTTAGCGTCGCGAAGGAGCAATAAATGGGTCAAAAAGGCGGGATTTTAGCACAGGTGTGCAGTCCTGAGGAGAGACAGCCCGTCCTGAGGGTAGCCGCCGCCCCAGGCGAGGTGGGGGGAGCAGCCGGAGGCCCCGGGGAGAATTCTCCTCAGGGCCTCGCCCGGGGCGGGCCCCCCTCGCCCGGCTACGAGCGGCCCGGGCTGAGGCGCGGCCCCTGAGGCGAGGGGAAGGCGAGAGGAGGCGGTTCCGCTCCGCCTCTTCCTGCGGGAGCCGCGCAGTTGCCGCCATGGCGCCGCCGGGGGCAGCCGCTGCGCTCGTCTCTGCTGCCGCCCTTCTCCTCCTGCCGCTGGCGAGCGCGGGGTTGAGCGGCTACTTCGGCACCAAGTCCCGCTACGAGGAGGTGAACCCGCACCTGCTGAGTGACCCGCTCTCGCTGGGTCCCGCCGCCGCGTCGCGGCTGCCCGCCGCCTGCGCGCCGCTGCAGCTCCGCGCCGTGCTCCGCCACGGCACCCGCTACCCCACGGCCGGGCAGATCCGCCGCCTGGGTCAGCTGCACGCTCGCCTCCTCCGCAGCCCCGCCGCCGCAGACTGCCCCGCCGCCGCCCACCTGGCCGCCTGGCAGATGTGGTACGAGGAGAGCCTCGACGGGCGGCTGGCGCCGCAGGGCCGGCGCGACATGGAGCACCTGGCCCGCCGCTTGGCCGCCCGCTTCCCCGCCCTCTTCGCCGCCCGCCGCCGCCTGGTGCTGGCCAGCAGCTCCAAGCACCGCTGCCTGCAGAGCGGCGCTGCCTTCCGCCGCGGGCTCGGGCCTTCCCTCAGCCTCGGCAGCGACGGTAAGCCTGGGCTCCCCGCACGCGTCCCTCCCCGAGGGACTGAGGGAGCCCCGCGGGCCTCCTCCTCCTGAGGAAAGCCGTGAGGCCGGTGCCGTGTTCCCCATCTCCAAGGCTGAGGGACCCCTCTGCCCTTCCCGAGGAGCTGAGGAAAGCCATGAGGCCAATGCCCTGTCCTCCATCCCAAGGCTGAAGGACCCCTCTGCCCTCCCCGAGGGGCTGAGGAAAGCTGTGAGGCCAGTGCCCTGTCCTCCATCCCAAGGCTGAGGGACCCCTCTGCCCTCCCCAAGGGGCTGAGGAAAGCTGTGAGGCCAATGCCCTGTCCTCCATCCCAAGGCTGAGGGGAACCCTGGACCCCATGTCCCCCCACCTTGTAGGGACACTGGTGTGGTGGTGAGGACTGTCCCCAGGAGGGTCTCTGGGTGGCTGGGCCCCCAGTACCTCAGGGACTGTCTGTTCTTCCTTCACTGAGGCCCATATTTGCTTTCAGAGGTGGAGGTTGAAGTTAACGATACCTTGATGCGGTTTTTCGATCATTGTGCCAAGTTTGTTGCCTTGGTGGAAGAGAACGATGTGGCAATGTGCCAGGTGGATGCCTTCAAAGAGGGGCCGGAGATGAGGAAGGTCTTGGAGAAGGTTGCGAGTGCCTTGTGTTTGCCAGTGGAGGAGCTGAACGCAGGTAATGAATATTTGTTGCAGGTGGCTTTGTCTCTGAGTCTGGGTGAGAACAACTTCCAAGTAGTTTTGCAGAATAGGTAACTTAAAATATGCTGTAAATTGGAGGCGCAGTCTCTAATTAAGGCTGCAAATGCATATTGATGTTGCGGTAATGAATGGCTGTTAGTCAGTGGTCAGGAGGGCTAATGAATGGCTGTTAGTCAGTGGTCAGGAGAAAAAGACAGTTGAAAACATCGTGCCTGTAGGTGAAATCAACTTTACCTTTGATTAGAGGCGTATAAGTGTGTTACTCTTTTTAATCCTGCTTTGTAAGCTTTTGTTACAATTCAAACACCTTTTCCTGAGGTTATTTATGTATGTCTACGTTGTAACTTCACTTGTCCAGAAGAGAAGTGCCAGGTTTCCCTGTGTGGTCAAGTGGTGGGGGAACTCCCCCAAACAGCTGTTGCTGTCCTTTCCAGCATGTCCCTAAAGCTGCAGTCCCAAAGCTGCAGCACGCTGCTGTTCAAACTCAGCCACTAATGTGGAGGATGAGTCATGGTAGCCAAAGACTGCTTTGCATTGAATGAATACACCTTCCTTGTTTTGACTCTTCTGTTCTTTGTGGTAATGAGGATGCACTAGTGGTTGACACGTATAGCATGTGCATCAGTAGATGTGCAGCATTTGATGTGAAATGGTCTCATTTTCCCCTCATAGCAAAGAAATGTGAAAAGCTTGCAGTCAGAAATGTGGATTCTGTGTGATAATGCTGTTGAAAGCTGTTTGGGTTTGATTCTTGGCCTTTGTATTGACGATTATTTATTGGCTTACATTGTTTGCATTGCTAAATGGTAGTTACTTTTCATTTTAGAGACAAGTTGTGGAAAAGCTGCTACATGTGTAACAGTGGTTTATCTTTTGCTTGTTTGTTGGATTTATTGCAGATCTTGTTCAAGTGGCTTTTCTCACCTGCTCATATGAGTTGGCAATAAAAAATGTGACCTCCCCATGGTGTTCACTCTTCAGTGAAGAAGATGCTAAGGTAGGTGCTAAATGGGAGAGATACTTGAGAAGCCTTCAAAATATGCCTCAGTGTTCAGATATAATTCATTGCACGGTCAAAAGTTGTAAGTTGTGTGCCCTTTATTCTTCAACCTAATGAAGCACCTCTTTGGTCTCCAAAGAGCTCTGGATTAATCAAGCAGCATTTCTGGAATACCCTTCTTCATTTAGACTTAAATACTGGTGCAGCCTTGATTTGTCCTCCTTGACGTGGGTTTTCTCCTATTGCACTTAATTCATGTAGTGCTTTTATTTCTGTAATACATGAAATGCCCTGGACAGCTTTGTTTTGCCCATATGATAAAATGCCTTGATTCCAGAGGACAGTAAATGAGGTATGCTAGACCTTGATGTTTCCGTTTTTCTTGTGTGTCAAGGAATTGTTGATTTCCTGCAGCGTGTGGTGGCATCGTTGTTCCTGGTTGTGGGCTTTTTATTTTACCTCTGCGCCATAATAAAAACTTGTGAACTCTCTGACTTTAGGTGCTGGAATATCTGAATGACCTGAAGCAATACTGGAAGAGAGGATATGGCTATGATATCAATAGTCGTTCCAGCTGCGTTTTATTCCAAGATATCTTCCAGCATTTGGACAAAGCGGTGGAAGAGAGCAAAAGGTAAATAAAAAGGCTTCTGTGCTTTGGCTGCAAGCTTTCTGTGGTCTATCCTGAGTTGGGTTTGATGTGAATAAAAGTCAAGTACTTTACTTCCAAACATAATGACGTTAGGAGAGTTTGAGCTAGGAGAATTTTAAGGGAGATAATATATTTTTTAATAGAGCAGTATTTATTGTAAAGAGTATTTTTTTTTTCTTCCATTGATGCTCTAGTGCCCAGACAATGTATTTCTATCTTTTAACTTACTGATCCACACAAGCCTTCAAGGGACAGCCAGCTGCTGTGTCTGATAATGGTGTTCTCTTCCTGCATGGTTTGAGAAGAGGCCATTTATTAAAAACAATGAGCTTTTGTTTAAAATGTCCTTGTTAAAAATCACTTTTGGTGAAAATGGAAGACCGTGTATTGAAAGTGTCCCTGTGATATGTTTTGTTATCTAGTTACTTAAGCACTTCAATGTGGCAGTCTTTTTACATATATTTGATTTGAGTCTCTTGGGTTATTGAAGCTTTCTGTTCAGATTAAAGGTGCTGAAATGTAATTACGGAAAAATAATTATTATAGCTCAATCCAAGCCTGTTGTGACACTAGACCAGAATGGCCTGTTGCCGGATCCAAGAGACCGGAGCTGTAATAGAGAAACAACCTTGTACGAAACTGCTTTGTTGCAACTAGGGAAGGGCAGACTTTTGTCAATATACTTGGTGCCTTGTAAGAACAGGAAAAAGACACTTCTGTCCTGAAGGTTTATTTGTTCCATGAATCTGAAATCAGTAGTTCAGCTGGCCAGTCAGAGAACTCTGTCTAGGATATTTAGTTTCCCATCCTTATTCTTTTACAGCAAAGGTGTAGTTTGGGAACAACACTGTAGCTGTAGGAAGATATTAGGCCTTACAAGTAACTGTTAGTAGGCTTGAAAATACAGTAACCAGCTGCCTTCAAAGGGTGGTGGTCTGCCCAAGTGGTTTGTCTTCAGCTATTGCCATGATTTGACAACAGTCACTTGGTGTCAGTGGAACAACAGTAGCAGTGGTACTGCATCTGCTGAGTTGCACAGTGATCCAGACTGCCTTTGCAGCGTCACGGGTATAACCATCCCTTCCTTAAAGGTTAGAGATGAGATGCCTGTGCTATTTTTGTGTATTGTTTATACTCCTGTGAGCTGGTATCGGTCAGCAGTCTTGGTGCAGTATCTGGTTTTGATCTGGTCTTGTGTGAATTGGTATGATGGGGAGAAGCAAAATGGGAACTGGGATCTATTGTCGTATGGAGAAAACAAAGGATTCTGTTACAGGTTCGGATGTTTGTGTCACAGAATTACCTACATTTGCTTTCATGTGCTCGTAGACTATTTTTTTGAGAGAGGGAGTTGCTTCAGATTTAAATTTGGTGCATTCATATGGGAATTAATTTACAACTCGTGTGTGCTCCTCCTGCAAAATGAGGCATGAGAAATTCATGGTTTAGTGATCAATCACATTAATACCTTAGCACGTAAGTGTAGAAATGTTTTTAAAAGTACAAAATATCAGGGATACAATCATAAGATTGTACAAATATTGTGCCATTAAATACTTGATAGAAACCAATTTATAAGTAACTTTAATTTGTAACTAGCAAATTCAGCTTTGGTGTTGTAAATATATGTTGGATATGTAAACATTGGCTACATGTGGTGGATGTTATTGCAGTCCTTGGGACATTATTTCTATATTCAGTATATTAAAGAAGATGTGGCTAACACCCAGCAGAATTATATTAATGTTTTTTATGGTTCAGAGAGAAAAGCATGAGTCATGGCTGTTTGAGGCTGTATGCATGTTTTTTTTATTTGATAACTTGTTGGGAAACTTTTTTTTTCTTCCTCTTTTAGTTGTCAGGCTGAAATAAGAAGAAGAAATCCAGCATTTTGGATTAGAGGAGTGATCCATAAAGTTGATTATAGCAGAAAAGACAGGAAAGCAGTTTTGCTCCTTTAAAAGTTTTCTGTCTGAGGATCCAAGTTGGATATGAGCAGTGGTAGAACTGTGTAGTAAATCAGCTGAAGCGTAGATCGCAGTCAGTTGGCTTTTTTGCTGTCCTTTAATGTGGGGTGCAGAGAAATATCCTGTGTTCATTGCTGGAGCTCTGAGTAACACAGGTATGTTGAGATCATGTTTAATACATGACATGGTTTCTTTCATCTAAAGTGGAGCTATCACTAGGTAAACAGTAGACTTGCTGTTTATCTTAATTACTTTCAGGGTTCACCCGGAAAATCAACCCGATATATCTGTTTATAAACAGTGTTGGCTTAGTATGCAAGAAGGTAAACATGTTGAAAATTTGCCTTTAGGGTGTACACACAAGCTTTCCCAACACTTGCATCCAGATTGGTGCCTTGGTCCTGCTCTGATGATGATTTGAGCCTGGGGAGAGGGGCCATACACGGTTGGAAATGAGAGCTGAGCATGGGAGCATATGGGACTTCTCTGCGTTGCATGGCAGTGGACTTTCTGAATCTCTGCTATGTTGTGTACCTGTCAGCACAAAGGAGATGCCTCTGTTCATTTTGCCACAAATGGGTTAAAACTTGACAGTTGCAAACTTGAAGTAAGTTTGGCTTTGGGGAGGAGTTGCTGTGAATGATAGTGGGCAGCTGGCGATAGAGACCCCTCTCCAGCCAAGATGGCTTGAGAAATTGTACTGGCCAGTGATGGCTCTGGTGTGTGGAAATCTAAGACTTGTGTGGGAGTCGCTGATACCTCTCGTTTTGGTAGTGGTGGAGTCACAGCAGTAGTTACGCTAGATCAACCTTTAAATAAACTTTCTCTGCATCCTCTCTTCAGCCTACTGGAGAGCTAAAAGAAAAAAATGCATTAGGGCACAGGTCAGTAGCACTCAACTGTGAATAGATTGACAAGCACTCTGCTGTGATTGCCTCTGTCCTGTGCCGTCTCTGTCTCTACAAACACAGAATTTAAGAACTGGGAGTGAGAAGATCAGGAAGAAGTACAAGTAAAAAGAGAAACAGAGAAGCAAGATTCTTGACACCCCTCTGTCCTTCTGAAATCTGAAAAATAACTTCAAAGTGCAGCTTGACTCGTGTAAGGAGGGTGATTGATTTTGCTCCCTTCTAGTGTAATTTACTCTTAGAACAGTGACAGCCTTTCAATCCTTAAATTAGATGGACAACAGTGAACAATTTGTTTACATAAATAATAAAAAACCAGCCATAGTTGACAAAAATCTATATCTGTACTTCTGATTTATTGAGAACTAGATCAGCATTCACAAATTTCAAGGGGGAGAAGGCTTCCTGGGGAGGAGCAGTTGTCTGAGGCAGAGCACTAAAGGACTGAGAAGACAGGATGAATTTTTTCAGCTTTGACAGCAGACATTTGGTTGCGATCTCTGAGGCTATCCTGTTGTGTTGCCACCACAGGGGGAAGCAGGTAGTGAGTTTGTGCATGTGTCTAAAGTGATCCAGAGCCTGAAAATCTTGCGAAATTCAAAGCTGGAAGAGCAGTCTGTTTAGTCAGTGTTATACTGAGTGGGGGCTGAAAGCTTCTGAGGTGCGTTGCCTTGCACAGAAGGAGTTGCTCCATCCCAGGACGTAAGGTGGCAGTCTTAAAGCACTGAAGACTTCAATGTAATCTGAGTCCGGTAACCTGGAGCATTTAATAATATGTGGAAATCTGCCACAACTGATGGAACAGCTTGTGTCTCTTGTGATCTAGAAAGTGGTGATGAAACTTATGCCTTTTCATCTAGGGAGAGAGACTTATCCCGGGTCCCATGGCAACATGAGAGATCAGAGTACAAACAAAAGCAAGAAAGTGTACAAATAAAAAAAAAGTCTGTATTAATAACAGTAGAAAATGATTGGGTTTGCACGAGTGTCTCTTTTTATGGTATTGTACAACATCAAGACACCAGGTTAAATATTTTTGTAGCAGTTTGTTACTCAGAAAATGAACTTTTGGGACGATGAAATATCTTTTAGTGAAATGTTTTTTCAATTTAGTGATGTTTAATGTTGATTTGTAACTGACTGTTTTAAAAGTTAAAGAACCACCAATTTACTTCCGAAGCATTGTCTTTGCTCTGAGTTCTCCTTTCTTACTGGAAAGATTAGATAGCTTCCTGCTATACAAAAGCAGAAGGGGGAGCATTTCTGTTACAGCAAGAAGCTGAGGGATCTGGCTTATCTGTTCTGGTCCAGGCTTGGCAGTGAAGAAGTGTTGGCAGCACTGCGTTTTTGTAGCATACTTTAAGTGTTTGTATTCAATAACGTAGTCCAGTTTTCATTTCCAGTTACAGCTAACTAAGGAGAGAAACCTAGTTCTTATTTTAACCCTCGTCCTGCCATTAAGTGATTCTTGACCTTGTAATCTGATTGCTCACTGAACTTAGTTGCCTTATTGGTTGCCCTGTTAAATATTGCTTTTCTTTCTTCTGGGGAGAACTATCTTCTGCTGATTAGTCTGTTCTTAAGAAAACTATGGAAGTGGTAATAAATACCTATTACTGATTAGTCCCACCTCCAATTTGCAGTGCAAAAGTTTCAGACATTTTTAGGATGTTTCATTGTCTGAATTCCAATAGAATTCATGGTTTAAACTAGCAGTAGTCTCTTCTGTGTATGTCTTGCTGTACAGCAGAGATGGTTTTGAAGGCTATGAAAAGGATTTTCACTATATGATTGCTCTTGTCAACTGTCCCCATCCAGACAACTGGTAGAAAGGTGTTAGAATATCTATTCAGGAACTTGGGTCCAATATTGAATGTATCAATAGTTGTATTAGTGACTACCTTCTGTTAGCACACCCACACATAGACCCTATTGTTCTGTAGTAACAAAATATAAGTGTCTAATAGAGATGAATTCTTCAGTAGAAAGGATCCACTTGAGACCTTAGCACAGTCGCAGCGGGCCTTTCAGGACCACATTCCTCCATACCTTCTTACCAGCCTGTAAGGAAATGTTACGGTCGTGTTTCTAGGGAGAGGTTGGGAGC